ACTTTCCCAGTGACTCAGAAGAACAGCACAGACTTACATTCCAAAATCGATGCAGTCAATTTCCCAAACTTTTGATTAAGTTCCTGGAAGCTGCCCTTTTTTCACTCTGGGGAACTTCTTCCTCTCTTCAGTCGCTGTGGTTTGCACTGTTTTGTCCCCAGCAACACCCCCTCCCCCAAAAGGGCAAAGAAAATGTCCAATGTCTAATCTTAGAAGTGACTTTCTGGAGACATCTGACTGCTGCTTGATGCTGATGACCTGGGTTTCTCGGAGAGGCTCCTTTTCCCACTTGGAGATTATGAGCTCCGTTCCTCTGGGCTCCCAGCTCTCAGCTCAGCCAGCCTGTCCCTTGTCCCGGTCACTGAATGATGGATGGGGTGGGAGAGGTAGGGCAGGCCACTACAGAACATTCCGGCTCCGACTGCTCCCTTTGGCCCTCTGAGCACAGCCCCTTAGTTGTCCCATCAGGGCATCCCAGCCCACCTACGGCCCGCTCTAGGGATGCTCAAAGGGCAGGTACCAGGACATGGCAGAGGGGGCCGGGTGACAGCTGGCAGAGAGCACAGTGCCTGTCCTGGGGCTGGCGCTGGTAATCCAGGGCCATCCCTGCACTCCCCGGTGAATGCCCAGCAGGCTGGGAGATGATGTCCTGGACCAGGCAGCCGGAGACTTGCCAGGTCTCCCCTCCTTTCCCGTGTGGCCCCATTTGCCCTCCCTAATATTACAGGTCCCGACTGGAAGCTCCTAACACCTCCTACTGCTGTGAGGCTCTCAGACTGCTAAACACGTGCGTACCACTCCTGCCCCCCTTCCGGGACCTACTGTGATCCGGGACCCAAAAAGCCCAGCCTCGGAGTCCCCGTTCCTGGGACGGCCCATTCCAGAGGGCTCACGGTGCAGAGCGGGGAGACACAGGGCATCCATCCAGCCTGGAGAGCCAGCAGGTGGATCAGAATCCCAGCTCTGTAGATGTGAGTTCTCAGTTTTCTCACCAGAAAAATGGGATCATAATAACCCGCACTTCTCCGCACCTCACCTCTGCCTCCGAGGGGTGAGCTGACAAGTAAACGGAATAGGAACAGAGCACAACACAAGGAAGATGCACGATAAATAGGATAATCATTATCAATGATTTCACTGCTAATGATGAACGGAGGTCATGCTCTTTGAAGGAGGACAGGAGCATCTGTCTGGAAGGAATCGGGCGGCAGAGCAGACGGCGGCAGAGCAGACGACGGCCGAGTGTCCGCAGTCTCCAGGGAGGGATTCCGACATATGTTAGTGGTCTGGCTGGCATCCAGGCCTTCCATTTAGAACAAGCTGGACAATGGCCTATCGCCTCTCCAGCCAAGTGGTACTGGCCTGCTCTCCCTTTCTCCCTCGGATCCCAGGGATCTCCCGAAAGGAGATAAACCGTCTCTCTCTCTGGAGGGTACGGGGGGTTAGGGGAATTTCATCTGTCCCCTTGGCCCAGATCTCAGGAGGAGGGAGGGACAAGCAGAGCAATGATGTCGCCCAGGCCCACCCAAGAGCTGGAATCCGCTCAGAACACGGCAGGCTACGGTGTCCTCCGGCCTCTCCTCCAGAGCTCGGGGGACATGGGTCCAGCCTCCTAAATCAGGTGTCATTCTGTTCGGTGGAGCGTCCCACATGCAGATGAATGGTATGGGACCCCTATGGCTTGTGGAGGGAAGACGGGGAGGCATGTGGAGGGCCAGGCATGGAGAACTTTCCAGCAAACGCAGGACCCTTCTCTGAAGAGCAGCTACGGAAGAAGCTTCTTCCTCAACGCCGGCCCATTACGTCCGGGTGGGCTCTGGGCCAACCTCACCCAGGAGAAGCCGGATGGGAGCCTCAGGCTGGGGTTTGCGAGAGGAACACCGTCCTGCCTGCTGGGAGAGTCCGGGCTCAACAGGACGCCTGAGCCTGGGCTGGAGCCTCACCCACCACACGGACCGTCCCGACTGTCCTCGGCAATCCGGCTGCGCGAGCCTCACTTCTCGTGTGGGCCCCTCTTTTGGGCTCCGGGTCGGAGCCGGGGGTCTTCTGCACGTGTCCCAAGAAATCTGCTTTCTGGTTACGGTTCTGGCCACAAAAAACCACTTGTGCTCAGCTTTAAAGAGAGGGGCAGGTGACAGGGACCACCATCCTTGAAGCTTGGACAGAGACGGGGCAATGGGCAGGGGGACGAGCGTGCCGCATTCTGAGGATGGTTAGACTTCTGCCTGTGGAGGAAGCCAGAGCTGGCCCTGGGTCACACCATGACATGGGACCTTGGGGAATGGCCTCTGTAGACCCACAGCCTGGCTTAAATGAGGCCTGGAGGTGCCATCCCAGCCACTGAAGGTGGCACGGTGTGGCCGAAAGAGGCTGCCTCTAGAGGCAGAGGGTCCAGCCTCAAGTCCCAGCTTGTCACATTCACACTGTGTGGCCCTGGGCAAGTTACTCTGCTCCTCTGAGCTTCTGGTTCTCCATGTATAGGAGCAACGATGCTGTAAGGTCATCGTACAGATTAAACGTGCGCGTGGGGGTCTAGCATGGCGCCTGGACGCAAGGCTCAGACAGCGCCTCCTGCCGGTTACCTAACGTCCACCCTAGAGCTCAGCTGAGGAAGGCAGGAGGGACAGCACAGCGCCCCCTCTGGCTGGAAGCCCGTCCTTTACCCTTCAAGGGACATCTATCCTCGCTGTCATCCAGGTGATGGGGGGAAAAACCAGATCAAAACACTGTAGGAGACTGGGAGGGAGTGACCCTGAGCAGGTCACTAGAATCGCCCAATGCCAAGGTTGGACAAGCTGGGCCCTAACCTCCAAGCTGTGTGTCTGAGGCCCTGACCCAAGAGGGAGAATCCTTGAAAGTTGAATTTAACTGGCCTTTATGCCAGGGGAAAAGAAAGCCTTCATGAGGGAGAACCCCTGCGCCCAGAATTTCCCAGAAAACCCCTGGCCCGATAGGGCTGTCCTAGCTGCTCAGAGCCGGGACCACAGGCTCCACCCCTTCCCAGTCACAGCACACTGAAGCCCCAGAGCCCCGACGGCCATCACCACAGGCCATTTGCAGAGCAGAGAGCGGTCACCTGCTCTCTACGGGGCTCTTTTGGGGATGTAGGGTCAGAAGGTAAGGACTCAGAATATCTGGGCTGCACTGACCCCCACAAAGACGCCAAGCATCACCTTGGTCCCTTTCCACCCCAGCTCTGGACCTCCTCCTTGAGTTCTCATGAGGACACCTGTCTCAGAAAGCCCTTGCTCATGGGGCGCACGTGGGGGGCTTGAGACAGGGAAGGGTTTGCTCGAGAAGCATCTGGGATGACCAGCACGCAATGGCTGACCACCCAGCCCAGCCCAGCCCCCGTCCCTTGCCACCCTTACCTTGTCCTGCCAAGAGCACGGCCCTGTCAGTGATTCCAGAAGGAACCCAGGCCGAAGGTCCCCCATCTCTTCTCCCTCTCTGCAAAGGTCACGCCAGCTCTGCACTCATGGCCTCCACTGGAGCTGAAGCCTTCGTGGGTGGATGCGTGCACGGCTGCAGGGACAGACATGACTACTAGGAGGTGGCTGCCGTCTGTGGGCGCGGTCTGGGGATTGGGCTGCTAATCCTGTTTTTGCAGCAGCTCAGCACCAAGCCCGCAGACAAGTGGCTGCCTCAGGACAATTGAGATGTCCCTTTGCCTGTCATCAGGAACAGCCATGTCTCCCGAGACCACCGGGACACAGTACACCTTTTTGCAATTGTCCTTAGACAGCACCAGGGCTTCCCACACAGTCTTTTACGTTTCCCCACCACAGAGGGGAAGTTTGGACCATTTATTTTCTTTTGCACAGCACGGGGAGAAAGCAAGGACAGCACTGCTCCTGGCCCGCCGGTAAGGGAGCCTGCCTGTAAAATTCCCCCACTCTGTTCGGCACAGGGCAGCTCTCTGGGGAAGGAGGCTACCGGGCGGAAGCCTTTCCTAAGGACAGAAGTAGAGCAAGTCCTTCCCCATGCTGCCCCCTCCCCCAGGGCATGCCATCCTGGGCTGGTCTATACGGGAGTCTCCCTTCCTGGCCAGAAACCACCCCCACTCCCTCAACACCTCCCCCCTCGAGCCACTGACTTGGAGGAAGGTTAAGGAGGCTGACTCGGACAGAGCACATCGAGGTCTGCAAGAGAACGTGGGAGCCAGACCCAGTGTAAAATGCAGGTGTCTGAGCACCCTGTGCACCCCCCTGACCCCAAACAGCTTCCAGACGCTCTGTGCATTCTCTGCGAGAGCAGCTGAGAAGCAGGGATTTGCTTAAGAGAGTGCTTCACTGGGGCCCGTCCCCCTGCTCTGACAGTGCCAGTCACGTGCCCTGTGATCACGGGCAAAACGGGCAAATCGTGCCTCTCCCTCCCGCTGTCAGAAGATCAGGTGGGCGTGAGGCCGCCATCTCTAAAATCCCTAAGTTCTCAGAGAGGAAAGAGCATCTGCTGGCGGCTGGTCTGAACTCGACCGCTCTGCCCAACTATAGTCTGAAGGTCCTTCTTCTCTTTTGAAAAAGAAGAGCAGGTCTGCTTGGCCGAGAGCCCCCCACCCCTGGAAATCCTACCCCATCACCAGTCACCCCCTGTCCTTGGATTTCCTCATCCATCTGGGTCTCAAAAGGGGCCAAGTGTCTGGTGACGAAGGTGCCCTGTCCACGTCAAACATAGAACATTCTATGGCCCAGGTCACACCACCCGTATTCCAAAGGGCTGAGTGGGAGACCACGGCTGGGCTGGAAACACTCCAGTTCCGACGGCTGCTCCTGCCGGGCACCCCTCACACCAGGTGCAGCAACTTGGCATAAAAACAAGACACGTACGTGATTATTTACTGCCAGCAAGCGATCGTCCCACCACGTCTGTATTTCACACCTAACCGGCTATTTCCTCTGGTCTTACGTTCTTGGAATATAGGTTCAAAAAGTCCCCACTTGGCTCCTTGCGAAGGCTTTGCCCCATTGCACCTCTGGGGGCCGGAAGTTCACATGCCCATGTCTTCTGGATCAGCTTGATCACAGCCCAGAACACTGGAAATCGGGGCTGCTTGGGGGAACTCCTGATGCACGGTCGCTGCCCCCGGAGAGGCCATGCGCGCGGTCAGAGCTCCTGGTTCCGGAAGGTGGGACCAGCCAAAGGCCAACTGCACCAGTGTCCCCAGCAAAGCCTGGCCCTGCTGTGAGCCCAGCGCGGGCTGAGCCGGCTCGGAGCTGGTGGGCGCCCCGAACCTCAGAAGGTGAAGGCGTACACCACCCCAACCACCACAATGTTCCCCAGGGTCGCTATGATGGCAATCCAGAGCAGGACCGCATCGTTGGAGGACCGCGGAGACTCCTCCGGCTGGCCCTGGCCACTGGAGGCCGCGTGGACGTTGGTGGAGGAGTTAAAGAGGGAGTACTCCGTGCTGAAGTCTTCGTTGGGCGAGTCCATGAAGGCGCCTCCCATCATGGGCAGCTGCAGAGAGGGAGAGAGAGAATTAATCTGGGCACATGGGGCTGGAGAGGAGCCTGATCGGGTCTGGTCTGGTCAAGGCACCGGGTGCTGGGACACAGCATCTCACGGGCTCGCCTCCTGCTTGTTATCATGGATGGTGCTGCTACAAAGGTCATAGAGATGGTAACGCTTGGAGGAAGACGCCCTCGTGCCCATTTCGCAGATGGAACCGTTAAGGCACACAGCTCGTCCACAGCTGTGAGCAGTCCCTCCACACCAGCTTCCTTCCTCTTTGCAAAGTCGTGATACTCAGCACAGACCGTTAAGGAAAGAGAAAAGAGGAAAAAGAAAAAGTGAGACTCAGCCTCGCTGCGTTAGGATAATGGCTGCTAACACGGTGATATTTCTCTTCCGCACTTTTTTCAGTGTGAGTCCGTATGTGTGTGTGAGAGAGACGGAGAGAAAACATGTTTAAACACGTGGTTTTATATAAAATTCTGTATAAAAATTCCATCAGAACACCATTTTACACATTGTATACTATTCAACCACAAATAAAACCCCAATTTAACCATCCCCTACAACTGGAGATTCAGGAATTTTTTTTTTTTTTTGCTTTTATAAATAATGAAGTCGGGGGTGTCTGGGTGGCTCAGTTGTTAAGCATCTGCCTTCGGCTCAGGTCACGATCCCAAGGTCCTGTGATCGAGCCCAGCATTGGGCTCCCTGCTTGGCAGGAAGCCCGCTTCTCTTTTTCCCACTCCCTCTGTTTGTGTTTCCTCTCTCGCTGTGTCTCTTTCTGTCAAATAAATAAATAAAATCTTGAAAAAATTAAATAAGTAAGTAAGTAAGTAAGTAAGTAAATAAATAAATAAAGCAGTCAGAACGGCTAATTAAGAAGTCAGGAAATGGCAGATGCTGGCCAGGATGCGGAGAAAGGGGAACCCTCCTACACGGTTGGTGGGAATGCAGTTGGTGCAGCCACTCTGGAAAACAACACGGAGGTTCCTCAAAAAGTTGAAAATAGAGCTACCCTACGACCCAGCAATCGCACTACTGGGTATTTACCCCAAAGATACAAATGTAGTGAAAAAAGGGGCACGTGCACCCAAATGTTTGTAGCAGCAATGTCCACAATAGCCAAACTGTGGAAAGAACTTAAATGTCCATCAACAGATGAATAGATAAAGAAGATGTGGTGTGTATATATATACAACGGAATACTATGCAGCCATCAAAAGAAATGAAATCTTGCCATTTGCAATGACGTGGATGGAATTAGAGGGTATTATGCTGAGTGAAATAAGTCAGTTAGAGAAAGACAATTATCATATGATTTCCCTGATAGGTGAAACTTAAGAAACAAGACAGAGGATCACAGGGGAAGAGAGGAAAAAATGAAGCAAGATGAAACCAGAGAGGGAGAAAAACCATGAGACTCTTAATCTCAGGAAACAAACTGAGGGCTGCTGGAGGGGAGGTGGGCGGGAGGGAGGGGGTGGCTGGGTTATGGACATTGGGGAGGGTATGTGCTATGGTGAACTCTGTGAATTGTGTAGGACTAATGATTCACAGACTGTACCCCTGAAGCAAATAATACATTGTATGTTAATAATAAAAAAAAATTTAAAAATAACGCACCGATCGAGATCCTAGCTATCCCTGCACTTGGGCGTACATATGTGCTTCTACGTGCATTTGTCTTCATTGCCGCAGACTCCCGGGCAGGGAGCTTCTGAGTCAATGGGTACGAGCACTTCAGAGCTCCTGGGGCACAGGGACGCGCTCCGCAGAAGAGTGATTCTAACTCCCAAGCCTCACATACAAGGATGGCCGCACGTTCGTGCTCCAGAGGTCGGAGTAAAGGCTCCAGGTTCCAGGCTAGGGGTGGGGACATGGGCTGCTCAAAGGAGGGGGTGACCCTCCATACAGCCACAAGGAGACCTTTCCTGCTCCAGGTCTTCTGGGCCCTTCCAGAACGCCCCGGAGGCTGATGTCTCCAGGGCTGGCCCCCGCATCTGTTAGGCCCACGGTGTGTGTTTTGGATGGCACCAGGGAGAATGAACGTGAACAGTTACGCTCTCCTTCTGCACACACTACCTGAGCCCTTATTACCACCAGCACGGAGGCCCGGCCACACCCAGGGGGTGTGCAAGAGATTTCAAGACTCACCACTTAGCTCTCCTGTTGGAGGGACCACTGTATCCCCATTTCACAGATGGGTAAGCAGAGTTCAAGGCTACATGGCAAGTTCATGGTGGAGTCAGGGTTGAGAGCTTCTCGCTCTGCATGCAGTCACCCCGACTCCGGGCTCGGACTCCATGTTGGGGCTTGTTAATGTCAAGATCACTGTCCCCAGGAAGTCTTGGACCCCAGGGGTGCAAATCGGGTGCCACTTCACCCCCCCCATTCTTCCGACAAATAAGTTTGAAGGGTGCATGGATTAGGTTCCCGGGTTCCAGACTCTGGATACAGCAGCAAGCAAGACAGACGTGTCCACACTCCAGTAGGGGGATGAGAGCAGGGAGGAGAAAGAGAGGTCAGAGGGGCACAGGGAGGGAGGAAGACAGGGAGCACATGTGGGGGGAACGTGAACCATTGGGATCGATGCAGGGAGGCTACTTTCGGGCAGCTCTGTGCTTGGCCACCCACATCCCAGCAGCCTCCGCAGAGCACCTGCTCGGCCGAGAAGCGCGGCCTCTCTGGGCTCGCTCAGAGAAGCCCGACATTTCATCCAGGACACAGTTCTGCCCTTTATCTGGTGGGGACCCACCAGCTATCACAACCTGGGGATGCAGGGACAGCAGGGCCCCTGGGGATCTCGGAATCAGCCGGGGCCCAGCCTGGGGGGCTGCTGCCCACAGGGGCATGCTCACGGCATGAAGATCCTGCCAGCGCTGCGTGTGTATGTGTGTCCCTTCTTACACGTCTATCACGGTTTAGCCGTATATTAAATTAAGACGTTGAGTTCAATGAACATGTTTAGTGCGTGTGAGTAGCTATCAGGACGAACACAAGTGAGAAGACCAATTGACATGCATCCTATGAGAAGTACAATTAAGAGTTTAAAGAAGCGAGCCGGGACCCCCTCTTGGCCCCAAGCTGGTGATGCAGATGGGGTGGGTCACAGCCTCATCAGGCATAGGCAGCCCGAGGGGGGCTGAGGGGCTGGCACGGCTGGGCGGGCGGTGGAGCCTCTGAGTCCAGGGCCTTTCCATGAGACCCATTCCTGCTTTGGGTCTCAGCCAATGGTCCTCTCCCCTGGAGCCCTCCCTCCTGTGTGCCCCATCCTCGCCTCACGGCCTCCCGTCCTGAGACACAGCTCCTCCTGTCTGCTTCCCCAGTGGCCTGGAAGTTCCAGGAGGCGGGACCAGATCTGCTTATTCTCCTCATGGGGTTCCAAGAGCATTGCACAGGTATGGTATACAGTGGTGCCTAATAAAAACCTGGCTGCTGCTGATGAATGATGGCCTCTCTCAACTCAAGGGCTGTCACTCCTACGTTGGCTAACGGTCTCTCTGGCCTCTCCCGATGGCCCACACGTCCACCTGCCACCTGCAGGGTTCACGGAGGGCAGTGGGTTCCTCTCCCCCAGCCCCCACCACAGCTGGCACTCCGGGCACCCCACAGCCTGCCCTTCTCTAGGGTCTTCTTCTGGCAGCCCATGGCGGAAGCAGGACTGTGGTGAGGCCCCAGAAACTCTGCTGGTAGCATCTTAGTGGGGGGCTCAGGCCAGGACTCCCCATGCACCTGGACTTGGTCTGCAGCTGCCTCCCCTGGACCTGCTGGACCCCCCAGAGTTAACCCATGTTCCAGTCCTCTGCCCGTGGCCGCCTCTCCATCCCTCTCCCCCAGCCAGGGCCCTGCTGGGTTTCTGGGCAGAGGCCCTCCCTCTACTCCACTGTGTGGGGGACCCACTGCAGTCTGGGGCGAGACCTGTGCCCCCCTCATCTCTCTCTGGGGTAGGGCCGGTCTCTCTGGGTATTTGCATCAAATCACTGGGAAAAAGGAGGACACTGGGCAGAGCTTCTGGGCGGGGAAGAGAGAGCAGCCCCAGAGAGCAGGGCACATGGCCCTGCCGCCACCACCCTACCCTGCCCAGGGCCACTGTGGTCCACCGGCTCTCCACCCAGCACCCTTCCACCCTGCTCTGCTTCCTGTGCTCTGCTCCCCTGCACGTAGTTGGTGTCCCTGCGTTAGTTTCCTGTGGTGGCCTTAGCGAGTTGCCACGAATGATGACACACATTTATTCTTTTCCAGACCCAGAGGTCGGAGGTCTGACATGGGTCTCCAAGGGCTGCCATCCAGGTGTTCACTGTGCTGCTGCCTCTTCTGGCTTCCAAAGGCGTCCACATTGGCCTGTGGCTCCTTCCTCTGTCTCCCAAGCCCGCACTGTGCTATCTTCCAACCTCTCTCAGATCCTCCCTCTTCCCCAATATGGGGACCTGGTGATTACCCTGGGCTCACTTGGATAATCCAAGATCATCTCTGATCTCAAGACTTTTTTTTTTAAGACTTATTCATTTGAGAGAGGGAGAGAGAGCACATGGTGGGGGAGGGCAGAGGCAGTGGGAGAGAGAGAGAATCTCAAGCAGACTCCCCGCTGGTCATGGAGCCCGAGGTGGGGCTCAATCTCTCCACCTTGAGATCATGACCTGAGCCAAAACCAAGAGTCAGATGCTTAACCTACCACACCACCCAGTCGCCCCTGATCTCAAGATCCTTAACCTTAATCATACCTGCACAGTCTCTTTGCCCCGTCAGGTAACCTCTCCAGAGGCTCACCTAATTGGAGGTTGGTCTCCGCTACACAGGGAACTCTCTGGAAAGTAAGCCTTGTAACCTACATACCTCAAGCTATCTCGGCCCCACTGTTAATGTAAAAAAGGTGACAAACCTGACCCTGTGGAATTAATGACCTGACGTCAGCAGAAGTTCTCCCCACCAGCTGTGCTCCATCAACCCAGTCCCACAGACCCCCTCAGGGGGACAATGCGTTCTCCAGACAGTGAGCTCCCCTC